ACCACTTTTTGCGAGGTCATAGATATGATTAACAAGCTAATGTGCAAGCCATTGGCTTTAGCCCAAAAAATTGAACTAAAATTCATTACCTTACAAAAATGGCGCCGAAAACAATTAGTTGCGCAAATGTTCAATTTGCCAAGATTTTACCTGATCATTTGAGAAGATTTCTGCACAGAAATGTAGCCCACGGTGATCATCGTCGTTGTGATGAATATCAAACCAAATAAGGGTCAAAAACTAATTTAAATTTGCATTTATTTTTCTCGGAAAAGTTTCATCCACGCGAAAATACCGATCTCACACAAAAATATCTTGGAATGAATAGTTGTTTACAAATCATTCACGATAGCCTGCCTAGCGCGGTGAGTTTCAATGTCATTATTATGCGGGAATGAGTGAGGAATACAGAAAATAGGGCCAGTGCGAGCTTCTGCGAAGCAGAGGTGACGCACTGGTAAAACATATCTCGAGATTATCACAAAACACAGTCAGCCAGTTGAAGGCATCGAGTGAAGTTAAGAATACTGCCAGAAAAGTACAATCGAGTAGATTTTCCCCTTAATATAGTGTGCTTGCACTGTAGCTGAAATACGGTAAAGTTTGCGCTTAAACAAATAGCTGCGTCTATGACGCCGGCCAACTGCGCGCGCAGAATGCCGGCATTATGGCGTGGCTATCCTTTACGCGCAAATTTTACCGCATTCCAGCTACAGTGCATGCACAATATATTAAGCGGAAAATCTACTCGACTATACCGCTTCCAGAAAAAACGATCAAAGTTTTGCATTTGTTGTGAAAAGCGCTAATTGGCGATTATTGAAAGGCTATTTCCTTAAGCAAAAAAGAGAAGGTCATTATGAACATCGTAGCAATATTAACAAAAGCAAAACTTCTTTCTTGCCTGCTTTTGTACTCATAATTCTATTGCTGCCAGTGGACTCAGCAGGCCTAGTATCAATTGCACATCAACTGTTTCTAAAGTTTTGTTTTCAAAATTTATGAAGCACAAAAATACAAATAAATGTTATCGTTTATCAGATAGGGTTTGCCGCTGGATTGATGGACTGTACCATGTTGCCTTTAGAGCCGAGTGCTTTCTGAGCGCACATTGGCAACCAGTTGGCATCTAAATGTATGTGAGCCAAGTACAGTGCAAAGTCCGTGTTCTCACAATTATTCAGAAAGTGAGAAACCATCATCTTGAATGTGTGCTCGTTGATGCAAGTTATACCTCGAAGTTCTCAGGCAGAAAGTTCGTACAGTTGTCGTTTCCTACACCTCCTAGTAACGTTACTGTAGAATAAGTAGAAATGCATGTGCCTTGTGCTGAAAGGTCAGGCTATGCAGCAGTGCTTTAATTTGCGAAAAATGACTTACGTCTACCATTATCGAAAGCACAATCACCGTTACTCCTATCACAAAATTCTGCAGTGAGGACTCTTGGATAACAGTTATAGCTGACGTGGTAGATCCTCTTGCATGCTAGAAGCTATGGTTTGCTTGTAGGAAAGAAGCTGTGACAAAAGAAATAAAATTACTATAGCACATGCTTAGTTTTCCTGGTGAGATTTCTTCTCCCGCTGGCACACACTTTTCATAGAAAAGTTCTGAAAAAAATCTGCTTTTCTTTTCTTTTGTTTATTCAGGCCCTCACTTAGCTTGCAATGATTTGTTGTGATCTGACTTGGCGCCCGTCTCCCAGTTCTTTTTAGATCATCGCCAAATTTACGCGATTTCTGGCGATGTTTGAAAAATTTCGATTTCCGCTCATCATCGTAGTGAAGTTCCAATGTAATAGGATGTGACTGAAATGTAGTTAGGAATTACCACACTATTCGGAACAGAAAGAGGATTACATTGCTCTTGTTGCCAGTGGCCGCCAAGTTGGAGTATGCACTGAGATTGAAGTTTCGCAGTGCGTCTTCAAGCACCTGAAATTTTCAAATCACCAAATTTGAAAAAGTCACTGAACCAGTGCTTTCAGTGATGATAATCATTGCTGAATTTCTTTGGAGACTCTTAGCATACCCTCACCATGTCGTAGCTGTAGACTTTCCTGACAAAGCTCGGTGGAGGAAGATTGCGAAAAAGTGAAGAAATGTCAGAAAGATGTCAGCTATTATGCACAAAGTCTTTGAAAATGCCATAGGTTTACCAGTTATTTCAAAGCCTCATACAAGATCCCCATTTCAAGCATTTTCAAAAATTCTGCGCAGCATTCCAAAACCAAGCAAATTGTCGCTCTATATAATTTTCTTTTTTCATCCTTGGCAGTTAAAATTTCGTAGATTTGCTACAAAATGTCAGAAAGTCAAAAAGACTGTCAAAAAGTTGCTACTGTTGCTGTAGTTGCTGTAGTTCTTCGAACTTGGGGCTCGCGCAAGTGCTACCTGCAGCAAAAACCGTGGTTCCCAGCAAAAATGTCCCCGAGTTCGCAGAATTTGAATTACTCATAACTATAGTATGTATGACACTCATAACTATCGTGAGCATAAAAAATGAATTTGCCGAATTCAGACAAACAGACCTTGTTTTCTGCTCGTTTGTCATCCAAAACTGAGTAATTAGTTGTTGCGTTGATCTCGTTGTATTCTGAAAGTGCAAGAAGTTAGAGAAGTCTGTAAAACCTATTCGCACTTGTTTTGTCAGAAAAATGATTATAAACTAAAATTCAGCCCCAAAGAACGTTGATAATCTTGCTGTTGCCTCTTTGCGTTTTTTTGTTTCGCTATCGCCGGAGATGCGGTGAATACAATAAAGTTAATTTGCTGAAAAAAGGTTGTATGCAGAGCAATAGGCGTGATAACCTTCAATTCATTTGGTTTGGCAGTGGAAGGCGAGGCTTTGCAACCTAATAGGCCCTCGCACCCTCCACACAGTCTGCGTCTATGCCGCGCACGTGCTCTCTGATCATTACTTAGTCTTATAGGTCACGAAGCCCCGCCTTCCAGCAGCCAAGCCAGTTGAATCAAAGTACACTACTGCTAGATATTTCACCACTCCCCCACTTCTTTGGGCGAGGACCCTTTGTATGCCATAAACGAGTAAAGCGGCAGTCCCGCACAGTGTGGCGGCATAGCAGCGGTGAACTAGGTTTATGGTCAAAATCGTAGATTTTTTATAACTTCTTATGCCAGCGGTCTTTTATTATTAGGTTGTCCCAAAAGTAAACTCCTTTTTTGAGTAATTCAAGCTGTTTTTGATTTCCTAGTATATTTAGGGTATCGTTCGATAGAGCAGATCAAGCTCTACAAAATTACCGCCAAGGATCCGCCTGAGCAAAATCGAAAAAAATTTTGTCACCTGAAAATTGGATTACTGCGACAAAGAATCCTACAGATCTCCAACTTGGTCATTATACAGTGGGCATGTAGTAGTACACAAATGTGCCTTTACCGAATTTTTTCCGAGCATAAAAAGCGAGAAACAAAAGTTGTCCAAAAATGGAAAGCTCCGCCCCCAGCCCCTCCCACATATGTTATTGTACACTACAAGCCTTAATAAGTATAATTTTAGAATCTTACCCCTGTATGTGCTCTCATAACCGAGAAATACCAAGTTTTACATAAAAAACTCGAAAAAGTGGCATTTTGGCATAATGGGACCCCATTTGTATCTCAAGTTCGAGCCCCGGAGAAAATCCACTAAATACATTTTTATGCACTACTATATGTCTACTATATAAAGACCAAGTTGGAAGTCCGTAGCTATTTTCTGGAAGGAGATGCGATTTTTAGGGTAGCTGAAAAATTTTGATTTTTAGCTCCAATTTACCTACTAGGTTACGAATTAGGCGGAACTTTGGTAGTCTTTTTGTAGAGCTTGCTGCGCTCTACCGAATGGTACCCTAAATCTGTCAAGAAAACAAAAACAGCTCAAGTTATTTGAAAATGGAGTTTACTTTTGGGACAACCTAATTGTAAGAGCCAAGAGTGTGAGTGCCCCATAATAATGAATCTATAGTTTGATCTGTAATAATTCTCTTTTATAAAAAGCTTTCGCCATACTTTGAACACCACATTCTAGAGCTGGCTTCAACTTAGATTTGCAGTATGAGACAATCATCGATACCTTTTCATTACGACAGGATTATGGTCAAAACTTTCGTCTTACCGTTTCATTGTGAAATACCCCGTTTCATGGAGGTTTTTTCAAAAACTCTGAAAAGTTGTGAAAAGTTGTGTACAAGATTTTCAAGTTAAATTAGTTATCTTCTTACGAGTTTATAAAGTATTTAGAGTGGTATGATAGCTTTTTTTGGGGAGCATTATGAAGAATATTGCGGTCTACTTTGCATAGGTATGACGGAAGCATTGCGCTGAAATGGAGACCTTATACTTGTGTTATTGGCTTTGATTAGTTAGTGCATGAGTTTCAAGCGTGTGTGGTTTGTTTCTGAAGCAAAATACGGCTCTGAATGGCTCATTGCCGGTACCCTCTTCAGATTTTTTCCGTGATCTTTCAGTAATGAAGAGCGGCTGGTGTTTCGCTCCACTTTGTAAATCTAAGCTTGAGTCATTCCCACAACATAACCTTTAAAAGGAAGCGAAAGCTTCATACAAGAGACTCACCACAGATCAAACGATTGACACCCTGCGTATGAGATTAATTTGAGGTTATCTATCCGTTGGTTGAGGTGAACAAAAGCACACTCTAGCACTTGTACAATAACTTTTTGATAGTTGGCAAGAAAGTTATAATTCTGGTGCTTACCTGCAAACCTATCAACTGTCCCGGACTCGCAATTCCTTTGACATAGGAGCATGAATAGGAAAATCACAGGTAGTTGCTTCATGGCTGGAAATCTAGTACCCTATTTTCAGGTGTATAAGCCGTACCCTTTTTCGCTCTCGAACACGCCAAAAGGCTGACTGTCATCATGGAGCACATTAAGTGAGAGCAGTATGCGATAAGGCGACCGCTTCGCGAGGCATATGCGCGGCGGCACGCCTGGGTCCGCTGGCGTTTAGAGCAAAAAGGGTGCGGCTTATACACCTGAAAATAGGGTATAAAAAAGCCCTCAGAATAAAACTATTGCTACTGCCATTAGCACTTCTGAAAACAATCACGCAGCACACAAATTCGAGGAAAAGCCAACAACTAAAGGGCGTTCATTTAATTTATACAACTCAACAAAATTCTCAGATTTAGTCGGCAGTGGCGGTCCCAGGATTTCGGACCGGGGGCGGGGGGAGACAAAATTTTTTTTCTGAATGAAGGTGCGTGGCGTTAGCCACACGCTCCGAAAAGTTTTTTGGGATGCTTCCCAAAATTTTTGTGCGACCATGACCCCGAAATATCAGAAAAAGGAGGCGGTGGCGGCAGCCACGCCCGGAAAAATTTTTTTACGAGGGCCGATTTGAATTTTTAAAAAATTTTAAAAACTATTTCAATCATTTACAAGTACAGACAAGTCACTTGCACATTTTTTAACCCATATAATAACTTTCTAAAATTTCGCGACCCATTCTCGAGGCCCCGCCGCCCCTCGAGAATGGGTCGCGAAATGCGAAGGTTTAGCTGGCTTCATACTTCATCTACTCTATCGACTAACAGTAGGTTCAGACTGAGATAACATGTGTCACCCTTACAAATTTTATCATGAATCTAATCAACTCTGTTTGTGGGTAGATCAGCGAGTACCGGTCCTTCGCACATGCTAGTGAACCCCGGAGCTTCGAATTCAACTGTTCACCTGTTCAACTTCCCTCGACGCTCTGTTACGCAGTTAAGACTTGGCACTCCGAAAACTAGTCGAAAAAAGGCACTCGAAAGCTCTATGGACAGTTCATAGAGCGCTTGAGCGCAGCTCTTCTGAAGATGACTCAAAGTCAACATCTTGTCGGATTTCGCAGTACTATAAAAAAATGTCCTGTCTTCGCGACCGAGCAGAATACGTTGCGAAAGCGAAGCATCAATGGGCCGGTCACATCATGAGAAGAACAGATAAAACTAGGAACATCCGAGCGGGCTCCTCGCAAAGCAAAACGTTCGAGAAGGATCACCAACGAAAGGGGGGGGGGGACGTGTTAAACGGATGGACCAGCTGAGGAATTAGCTGGATGGTCTTCTGGCAACTGGAAGTTGTGGCGGCAGCCATCGACGAGGACCAAGAAGATCTTGCATATCTGAAACAAGGAGCAGGGATTATTGGAAACTTCTGTGCTGGGGCCGCACACCACGTGAAGACGCCATCTAAGTATTCAACAAGGGTCTTTTTATTTCTCGCCCAGAAACGCGCTGCAGATAAGTTAGATTTGAAATCAGCGTTTCATGCCCTCCGAGACAGTATCCATCTCATATTAAAATGCTATTTCGCCGGCTTTGTCAAAAACGATAAAGGTTCCATTTCTATCCCTGTACACTTTTACCTGTGCACACTTCTACATGCAATTCCCTATTCCCGCTGTGTGAGTGATCAGTATGCTCACCTACCTTCCTCACCAACCCCCCCCCCCCCCCCGTAGCTCAAACTTTGCAAAAAAAAACAATAAAATTGATAAAAGTAAGGATAATTTTATAAACCGATGGCGTTATTCGGCTATCCGGGCCCTGAAAAGTTCTTGTGGTGGGTCTTGCTCGAACTCGGTATGTGGGGGCTAGTCAAGCCGCTGATGACGAATTAAGTAGTCATTTCGCGTGGCAGCGGGTAAAAATCATGAATCTGCCTGAAACCCTGGCAGGGAAATACCTAAAGTGCTGTTTCAGGAAAATCGTGCTTAATCCCCAGGATAACGCAAATCGTGTGGTATAAAAGTTTCTTTCCCACGACGGTAACGCTTCCCCTGATAGGACTACTGCCGCGCGCGAGACACGCTTCGGCGGCTTTTGCCTGAGCAGAAACAGGGGGAAGGATATTGCCGCGTGCGTTACGCGTTGGGACAGGTCAGGATGGCACTAAAGACCGCTATGCAAAACGACCGTTTCCCCATCTCTCGAATATCTGGGAACTAAATTGGCCCGAAAGCGAAAAAATGTCTATTCAAACCCTGCAACTCACCATAACTTCACTATTGCGTTATGACAGCGAGCAAGCATCATATTCATAAACGATATACCTGTGAACCGTTACAGGTAAGGTTTTGAGCAAATCTGGAACTTCGACCCATCTACACCCACCGTAACCCAAGAAAATGCACTATGCTGCGAAATCAGCATGGTATTCATGTTCAGCGCGCTAAATGACCAACCTAGACGAAGGTTAAAGTAAACCTATGTTTTCGACCCCATGCCATATAACCACCACATCTCTATGAAAAGGTCCCAATATGCAGAGAGAGAGAGATGGTGTTCGTAATTAGCATGTAGAATAAGCCATATGGACCGAACTCCAGCCGAATTCATGATACTGACTTCCTACCGTACACCTACCGTGACCACACGGGAAGACGTTCTGCGGAGAAAGTGTGGTATCTGTAATCAGCATGTAAAGGGCCGGACATACTTCACGCGATTTCAGTCGCGACGCGATTTGGCAATTCGCCAGAAGTCTTCGGATCCAACTTAGCAAACTGCACATGCATAGTGTGTATAACTTACGTACTGTGAAATGCTGCCTTATCTTCTGCACATTTATAATGTGGTTTACAATGAGTTATGGACACCTGGAATATTGCCAAATCGTGTCGCGATTGAAATCGCTCGAAGTATGCCCGGCCCTTAAGATAACCCTTATGCACGATGTTTGAGCAAGCCTTACCACAAAAAAATTTTGGTGCTCGGATAGCCGAATAGCGCAAAACTAATATCGAACCCGTAATCAGCATGCTCGATTACCCCCCTGTGCCAAATCCCAGCCTAACTCAAACTTTGCAAAAAAGCGATAAAATCGATAAAAGTAATCGATTTTCCTGAAAACTAATACTGTATTCGGAATCCCCATGCTTGATTACCCCCCTGTGCCAAATCCCAGCCTAGCTCAAACTTTGCAAAAAAATCGATAAAATCGATAAAAGTAATCGATAATCCAGAAAACTAATATCGTATTTGGAATCGCCATGCTCGATTACCCCCTGTGCCAACTCCCAGCCCCGCAGGTCAAAGTTTGCAAAAAAAGATAAAATCGATAAAAGTAATCGATTTTCCTGAAAACTAATATTGTATTCGGAATCCACATGCTCGATTACCCCCCCCCTGTGCAAACTCCCAGCCCCGTAGCTCGAACTTTGCAAAAAAAAAATCGATAAAATCGATAAAAGTAATCGATATTCCTGAAAACTAATATTGTATTAGGAATCCCCATGCTCGATTACCCCCTGTGCCAACTCCCAGCCCCGCAGGTCAAATTTTACAAAAAATCGGTAAAAGTAATCAATAATTCTGAAAACTAATATTGTATTCGAAATCCCCATGCTCACTTACCCCCCCCCCCCCCCTGTGCCAACTTCCAGCCCCGTAGATGAACTCTGCAAAAAATCGATAAAAATCAGTAAAACCGATATCGATCGATGACGAAAAGTAGCCTATGACACCCGCCGAGGCCCGAAGTGTATGTGTGCCAAGTTTGGTGCGGATCGGGAATGGAATTTTCTATTCGGAACATACGTACATACAGACAGACAGACAGACGTACATACATACATACATACATACATACATACATACAAACAGACATTCAGCTTCATATATAAGATCATGTAGACGCGAATTCATCACTTATCGAGCTTTGTACATGTTTAGCATATAAATCGTCTAGATGTTTTTGTTGAGGCTCGTTATGCGTCCACCTTAACTACGTACCTGTAAAAATCTCACAATTTCGCAGAGATGAAAAACCAAATCTTGTGCACATAGCAGGCTAATGGCGGAAATCTACAAAATGGTGTGGGGCAATAGACGTCAACTGTAAAATTCGACTAGACAAACTCGATCACTGCTGCCTTTTTAAGATTCAGAGGAACGTGGCTTATGATAACATTTGTTCATCACAGTAAGAAATTCGGTGAACTGAACTTTGCGTAGCATTATTGTAACAAACAGACAGTGTTGCATGACTTTGTTGTTGTGAATAATTCGTAGACCAATTCTCAATGCACAGTATTTCCTATTAATCACTACTTGCTTGAAATTTCCAGAAAAAAACGTTGTAGATTGTTCACCGCATGTTCTGTTACGCATGCTGAATTAGTTGCTGGTGAAAAGGTTTTGACTCATATTAAAATAGCACTTCATTAAAAAAGCAACTCATAATCTTAAGCGTGAACTTTGAGTAGAATTCCACGTCCTTGAAATTGTGCTATTCCAAATTCTGATATCTTGACGGACTGATATCTATGAAGGCAGTTTCAAGTACACTTACATCTGCAGGAGAAAGAACAATTGGAGTATTGCCAAATCGGGGTGGGGAAACGAAAGCCGCCAGGTCCAGCCGCCTCCGCGGACTGCTGGTCCTGGAACGACATGCAACAACGCTGCGAAAGGACCAGCTGGCCGCGAAAGGCGGCTGGACCTGGCGGCTTTCGTTCTCCCACCCGCCAAGTCGCGTCGCGACTGAAATCACGTGAGATACGCCCAGGGCCTAACACTCTGTGACGGAGAAAAGTGTGCTTCTGTTGCAGATGTCCCTGTACTTCCAGATTGCACCACCGATGAAAGTATTGGGAGACTGTATCAAGGTAGGGAGAAAGGGGGGCTGACACTATTTATAGGGCCGCATGCACTAACATCCCCGCGGGGAGGGGATCGCAGCTTACAAGAAAGCTTTATATTTCGAAACTCCAGATACCTGGATTTCACGTTGTGTACCTATCCATAAGTATTCCTACTACCCTTCACTAAGAACATGTTGAAGAGGAGCGAGAAGCTGTACGAACCGCATTTTCCAGCTTTTGTATGATCCCTGATGATCCCCGGCGCTTTTCTTTAAAGTCATTTTTCTTTCTCCGAAGTCAACGAAAAACCTCCAAAGTTGTGCAGATTATCCAACCCGACCGTGCTAAGCATGTTCGTGATAACAACAAATGATGTTTTGAAGTCATGAAATTTCCGATGATCCACAGGTCGAAATTTGAGGTTTACCGAAAAATTCGACTTAAAAACTCATTTGTTCTCATCAGCAACATGCTTAGCACTGTTGTGTTAGATGTTCAGTACAGCTTTGGAAAGTTTTCGTTAACTTCGGAGAAAGAAAAATGACTTCAAAGAAAAACGCCGGGGATTATCAGGGATCATACAAAAGCTGGAAAATGCGGTTCCTGCAGCTTCTCGCTTCTCTTCAACATGTTCATAGTGAAGGGTAGTAGGAATACTTACGGGTAGGTACACAACGTGAAATCCAGGTATTTGGAGTTTTGAAATATAAAGCTTTCTTTTAAGCTGCGATCCCCTCCCCAGCGGGGAGGTTAGTGCATGCGGCCCATAGACTTTTCAAGCATAGTGCCACGTCCTTCAAACGCATATGCAACCATTTGGAATCATATCAATGCGAATGCGTGATAATGAAGCATTGGTTGATTTCGTTAACATGTTAGAGCATTAACCTTTGATTCAACTGGCTTGGCGGCTGGAAGGCGGACTTTGTTTCTTAATTGAAGCCGCTCACGCCCGCGACGCAGTCTGCGTTTCTATCGCCCGCGTGCTCTCCGACTATATCTAGCCTTTAGTAGGTCACAAAGCCTCGCCTTCCAACCGCCAATCCAGTTCGATTGAAGGGAAAGTGATGCTCTGTCTCACCTTGTTCAGACTGACAATGCATAGTCAACTAACACTGAATTCGAGTCTACCGTGTTTCAGCTGTGCTCCTGCTCAAAATCTATCCGAGCTTGCAGCGTCCCGCTTTCAATGACTTTAATCTAACCGTGCGTACGAACTCTAGTTCAGAAAATCCCTCTCTCGGAGGCGTTTGCAGATAGTGAAGACAGATTTGGCAGCTTTCAGGTTCTCATAAAAAGTGTACAATGGGGATGGCACGAGAACTTTGTGTTAGTTCTGACCAGGGTCAAGCGTGGGGTGCGGCACGCCACACCTGGGGGGTCTTATTGAGGAGTCAAAAGGGGAGGGGGTCGTAGTTGAGTGATCTGATAATAGTGATAACATGATATTCGTATCATATCCATAATTAGCATGCCAATTAACCCCTGTAAACAAAGTGTGAGCGAATTCTGAAGATTCAAGATACTAAGCTACCTAAATGAAATGGTCAAATTCCAACATGGTTAACTTTGTTTCAAAGGTGAATTAGCTATCCGTTTTTGCACTCAAGACAAAGCACTACTCCTTCTTTGTCCACCTCAGGAATCCCGCTTCAGAAGACCTGCAAATTGTGGAATTAGAAGCCAACCAAGATCTCGTTTTTCCCAGTTTTTGCTTTTGATCGCTGTGCTTTCATTAAATATTACTTAGAGCTAAGAAGACAAATCAGGCTCCAAACAGTCCTATAGAATCTACAAGGTTCAAGCTATCGATTCATATAAATGCTGTCTACCTAGAGGGAAAAGTGCTCCATGGGCCGAAGTGATATTATAAAAAAAAAAGACTGGCCGTTTAGAGGATGTTCTAAGAACACTGCCCATCGAACCGCCTACAAATCGAACACAACAAACTCCCTCCCAACAAAGCGTTGTTCAGAAAAAAACTATCTACGGGCCACTCGCACTTATAATTTAAAGGAAACACTGCCCTGAGGGTTGCTTACAGACTAGAATTATAAAAAGGAAGATTGTAAGCCTCCACCATCCAATATCTCAAAAAAGTGCCTTATGGGCAGCTACATACCATTTTTCACTAAGATTCATGCCCTAAATGCGCCTACAGACTTTTTATGGGAAAAAATTGCTCCATGAACTGCCTACGGAGCGACATACATAACAACTGCCTTCAGAACGATATTCTGAGGGAACCATGGCCCTACAGGCCACCTAAAAGGTGGTGAAGAAGGAATGGCCACTCGAGCCCCTACAAGCAATATTTTGGGAATGCCATACGGTACCAATATCTCTAAGGAAGCGTAAGGCCTGTACAGACGGTACTGCAAGAAGAGCTGCCCTACGGGCTGCCGCAGACAAATATATTTAATACTGGAGGTCTGCCCTATGGGCCGCTTACAGACTGTGATCGGAAGAACAGCCCTGTGGACATTGCCTACACGCCAAAATTTTTCAAAAAAGATTTTCCAAAGAATGATTGCATTGCGAGCTTCGCACAAAGCAATTTATCTAAAAAAAATCGCTCTGTTGGCTGCTTACGTCACGCCTCTTCGAGAAAGTAATGCACCTTGAACTACACACATACCGACATTTGAAAAAGAACTTACAAACCCTCAATCCACTTGAAAAATGCCTTACGAGCCGCTAGATGTTTCGAAAAACCCCTATAAATCAATATCTTGAAAAAAAGCTGGCCATTACAAAACGATATTTTACGCCTCTACAAACCAATGTGTTGAAGAGCAACTGCCCTACGCGCCGCCTACAGACCCATAAATGCATGTAGTATGCACTATGGGCCAGTCATAGGATATTCTGAGAAATAATTACTCGACAAACCCCTCACAGGTCGATGTTTATTGAAAAAGAATTGCCCTATAAGAAGAACGATGTCTTTGGGAACCCCTACAAGTCCCCTCCCCCCTACACACTCATACTTGAGAAGGAATCTCCCTGCAATTACTACAGACGAAATCATGGAGAAGAAGTGACCTAAGGACCGCTTGCAGACCAATTTTGCAAAAAATAACTGTCATGCAAACCTCACAGACGGATAATCATCCGGCCGTGAGGAGCTTACACGATATTCCTAGTAGAAACTGCCCTACAAACTTCCTACAAAACTCTCAACCCCCTATGGATATCCAACAAACAGAATTTTTGTGTAAAAAACAGGCCTACCAGCCGCCTATAATTCGAGGAAGAACGAAAGAATTATCCTCATTACTCATCGAAACGTAACGGCCATGATCACTGTGTGAGAAGAACGAAATGTGAACAGATAATCAGATAATAGATAAGCATTTACCAGGAACGTGTGAGCAAAGAGGTGTGGTGATATACTCAACAACAAGCGAAATCGGTCATGCCCACAAGGTACAAGCTTGCGAAAGAAGGGGGGGGGTGACTGTTAGCAACCCTACGAGAGTGTCGGCACCCCTGCATTTGTAGACTTTTTGCACTTAATAGCCGCACCCATTTCGAAAACATTTTTCGAGAAGGGACGATGTTACCCCTTCGAAAACACGCTAGCCTTGTTGGCAATCTGTACCCTCAGCACCCTCGGCAATCACTCGCCTCAGTCGGCAACTTGTCAGCATGTAAGTGCAGACCCTTGCCATTCTTTATTATAGAATTTCTTGCGTTGAAGCACACAATGCAAAATATGTGAGACGAGAATATTTGATGATGAGGTTGGTGGGCGATAACGGGAAGCTGCGATTCTTCTGACGAGGCAATTTGCGGTCGCTGTCTTGGTCGAAGTGAAGTTAACAAAGCCAGCCCTTCCAAGAGCGCACGTGTTAACTTTTTCAGCTGTGTCTTTGCGCAGCTGCGAGGTCCGCAGCTGCGCATTCCTTTCACGTCTTCTGACATGCGATCAGAATACAGATCGCGATTGCGAGATAAACTTCATGTATCCTCCCTTGCAACTTACTAGACCGTACCATAATTTATGAAAATTGGTTTGCGAAAATTATGTTTCCATTGCATTTAGAGACTTCCTTCGACTGATTTACGCTTAGCTCAAAAATAATCAAAACTGCTTATACTACCATTCAAACAGACTCCCAAAATACTTAAAGGCAATGTCCGAACAGGTTTGGGAGCGTCTCAATTCCAAAAATTACTAAAGGGCTCTCCGTGCAAGCCACAATCACCACAGCCATATTCTAAGGCGAAAAATTCGCTTAAAAA